AATGAGAACTTACTAGAGGCACATTAAAAAACAGACAGAAAACTCTACATAAAAAGAAGAAGAATGATTATTGAACTTACTAATCAAATTACTTAATATTACAAATATGTAATTTGATTACTTACGCCAAGAGCGCTGAAATAAACTACTGTTGTATTAACAAAATAGTAGATTTGTTAATACTCAAAATCTTCACCTATACTCGCAAAAAAAACATCGTATGGTCATGATTAATGGCGCCAAAATAAAATAATTCTTGAATGATTTACTTTATTTATTTCAACTGAATACACCTCCCACTAACAAGAAATTTTATTACGAAACTTTTTTGTGTACAAATTCTGTTTGATATGAGCTGCAACTTATAAACTTTTTGAGCAGTTAAAATCGTCTAAATAACTACATTTTGACGGTACATGCTGTAAACTAACTCGTAAAACTGTAATAAAGAACAAAAGAATATTCATCGTAAGATTCTCCATTTAATTATATCAAGTGAACGGTCTTCGGGAATTGTGCCAAAAATGTAGAACAAATGGGGTATTGTGTCATAGACAGTTTTATCTTGAGCGACAAATCGATACCTAGGCGATTGACAGAATGGAAACAAACTGATATTATACATCTGGTTCTGATATTTCAGGTATTTTTGAGATATTATCGGAGATAGAAAACTATAGTGACTATTTTTGTTGTAAGCTTTGTCAAAAGATCCGATAGTATTATTATGAGGTTAAAAAATAAAGTTTTTAGTAAACGTTTAGGCCTCCGGATCAAGGTCGTTTTGAATTAAAAAATTATGTCTTAAGTATATATAATTATAATTATATTTAATAGTAACTGCTCTTCACTTGAAAGCCAAGAGTCCAAAAGGATAAAGAATTTATTTGCGGTTTATGCTTCTTGCATTTGTCGATTACGAGAAGGCTTTTGATTCTGTAGAGTTTGAAACAATACTGGAAGCCCTAAATCAAAGCCGAATGGCACCAGCTTCGAGAGCCGAATGGCACTCGATGGCAAGATATGGGCATCAATATAGATGGAGAAAGATTAAATCACCTTAGATTTGCAGATGATGTTGTATTAATCTCAGATAATTTACAAGATACAGTTTCTATGATGTATTCGCTTAAAAGTCTGTCTGAAAGAGCAGGATAAAAGATAAACTTTGAGAAAACTAAACTTATAACAAATCTCGTAATGAGTGGAAATATAACTATTGACAATAATACCATACAACAAACAGACACTTACAAATATCTGGGACACGAAATCAAAATAAGCAGGGACAATCAAACACATGAAATACAGAGGCGAATAGGCCTAACTTGGGCAGCATTTGGCAAATTAAGCCATATTCTAAAAAGTTCAATTCCCATGTGTCTCAAGCGAAAGGTTTATGACCAATGTGTTTTACCTGTACAAACTTATGGAGCGGAGACTTTAACACTCACGCAAAAATCTGCGAATAAACTCAGAGTTACACAACGAGCCATGGAACGTGCAATACTGAACGTGAGCCTTCGAGACCACATAACAAACCAATAAATCAGGCAAAGATCAGGAGTTCAAGACGTCATCGAAAGAACCACGTCGCTTAAGTGGAACTGTGCAGGAGACTTAGCCAGAGCACAAGATGGATGGTGGACAAGACGTATTATGGAATGGAGGCCCAGAAACTATAAAAGAAGCCGAGGACGGCCATCGACTAGATGGACCGATGATATAAAACGTGTAGCAGGAAACTGGCTACAAGCGGCCCACTGTAGAGAACACTGGAAAGAACTGAGGGAGGCCTATGCCCAACAGTGGACGCGATTGGCAGATTGATGATGATGCTCCACAAAATACTTTCTATTTATGTAGTGTTATATAAACTTCTTTTTCTTATCTAAGATATTTTGCTGTAATATCTCTTGCGAATACTAGGACTGAGAATATCAACTAGTTTTAGAAATAATGTGGTAGATCATTATCATGGATTAAAATAAAACCAATGCCAATAAACTTTTTAAAACTCTGGAGAGATTAGGAAATGCCGAAAGGTCTTAATCTCGACGAAGGAAGAATCCGAATCTGCACCTCTACGTGGTAGAAGTTTAGCAACATCAATGTTGGTGGCTAACGCAGATAGGGACCAAGTGATTGCCGGTATAAGCAATCCCCTGCAGGACAATCTTTTGTCCTGGAGCTGAGAAATCGACTCCAAAAGCGGAAGAACCAATAAATTGGTCAACGGTAGAAGAATGTAGAAGGTAAGGGGAAACCACTGCATTAAAGGTTCAACAGAACACCCCTAGTCATTCTTAATGGCAAATACGCAAAAAAGTCAAACCGTTACTGATCATGGAATCCAGAAACCAAGATCCGATAGGAAAAAAAAAAAGATTATGTAAAAGACGAGGCCTTTCAGGTCGATAGCAAACAAAATCCTCGTTTAGATAATAAAATTACACGTCTAAGAATATACAAATGTAGACGAACAATAAGACTTGCATCATGGAATGTAAGAAACTTGTACCAGCCAAGAAAATTAGACAAATTAATACACGAAACAACCAGAATGGAAATAAATATCCAGGGCATAAGTTACGTACAATAGCCAGACACCGGCATGATGAATTATGCTGGAAACAACGATCCGACTCATCGCTATGGAGTCGCAATCTTGTTGGACACAGAAACTAATAAATCAGTTAAAAGCTTCAGTCCTTACTCAGAGAGAGTGATAATGGTTCAGCTGACCTTCCTCGGGAGCTGAGGATAAGAGTCATAAGATGCTACGTGTTCTCGACTTTGTTGTATAGAATGGAAAGCTTTGAGATGTGGTGCTATAGAAGGATTTTGAAAATACATACCATGGACCCAACGATTTATGCAGAAATGTTAAGCAGGCTGTAAAAGGATTGTGAGGTCATAAAGCACATCAAAACAAGAAATCTGGAATATTTAGGCTACATTGCCAGAGATGCGAAATATGAGATATTAGGGCTCATAATGCAAGGTAAAATCAAGGATAAGAGATCCATAGAAATACTAAGAAATTTCTGGCTAAGAAACCTAAGAGAGTGGTATAGTTGCAGCTCAGTTGATTTTTTCAGAGCAGCCGCCAATAAGGCACGGATAATAGCTGTTATAATAGCCAACCTCCGATAGAAGAAGTAACCAAAAGAAGAAGAATGCCAACAAATTCACTAAAAGGTACCATGTGATCGACTAATATCTCCTCAATATGTCAGTTATTATCAAATATCTATTGATAAACACTAACTCCGTGACGGCTTCCCGGTTTTTTTGTCTCTATACCATTACTGAACCTCCTCCAGTAGCCAGGAACTATGGCTACTACTAGAATCTCTCTCTATCCACTTAGAATCCATCCAGAAATTTAATTGAACTCAGCTTGAGAGACTTGTACAATAATGTACATCCTATAAAATGACGTTCATGTGTTATAATTCATTTGAGCGAGGTGTATTAATTCGTGTAAGAACAGGAATCACTCCATCGCGCTTCAATGCTCCAGACCATTCTTTTCCCACCTATAGCACTATCAGCCAAATGTTCTTCATGTGGGAGTCCTGGGTACAAGAACCGATCAATCCAAGTTAGCGTGAGGCTTTTTATTTCTGCTACCTTCTTGTGACTTATCCTCGAATCGGAATTGCTTGCTCGGGCATCAAGTCTCCGCCCCGAGCTACGACCGGAGTCGGCGACTTGGTTCGGCAACTTGGTTCGGGTTTTTTGGTTTTTTTTTATTTTTTGTGTTTTAAACGAATCTCTCTTTTGTCCTTCTACTCTATTATGACCCCCTGGACAATGTAAGTCGAATCTGGATTCGTTAGTAAAAAGTACATAATTCCAGAAGACAAGTCCCATTATAAATGTGCAGTGACTAATTGCAGTCTTGCTACATAGTAAAAGCAATTTGAAAGTGAAATCAAAAGTTTATACTTTCAATTAAAAAAATATTGATGATGTCGTATCCTGTAAAATAGTAGGAATAAAGATTAATTCGTTTCAAGGACCGTAGAAAACTGAAATACAAAATCGACCTGCTCGAGTTTCATAAATATGCGAAACATAATCCTCCGTGAAATAACAGAGTATAGAACATCCCAGAGGTATAGTATTTATAAAGTCAGTTGAAACATTTCTCTCTGACTCGATTTATAAGGGCAGTTCAATATTATATCTACCGGTAATCAAGTTAAAGTATAAATAACACGCGTCAATGTTTCAAACGCATTTGAACAATCCCCGTAGTTCTTAGGAAATAGATCGAAGAAAGAGGGAATTAAAGATACATCCCATCAAATAAATATTGCACATTGATATGTTATTCAAAATCACCAATATTTAACACGCTACTTGGATGTCCCTTCTAGCCGGTGGCGAAGGGTACAGATAAGAAAACTCTGTTGAATCATACCAGTGCTGTACACCTAAAATGTTTATTATTTTACGAAGTATAATTAAATCATTATACTGTCAATATGGCCTATTGCCCTTTAATTATAAATTTTTTGTTGCTTAATATGACATATTAAAAACATTTGTAAACACTTATATACTTTACGACAGCTTTAAGTAAATTAAAATCGTCCTTTTTCTGTTCTTCATTAATCTATATTTGATTATAGAAATAAATGATGCGCCCATGTCTGGTAATATGATATTATTCTTTTAAGGTTTGTCGGCAACTAGTTTTTTATGTGTTTCAACTGACTTTATAATTACACTTTTCAGTGCGTCACAGTTTTTCGATTTCTTTCTAATGCATTAAGTTGGATGGGACGGAGAAGGGGGTAGTTCCGTGATTAAACAGAACTATATTGCAGCGCTATAAAAAGCTTACATACATAAGCGGCATTTTAACCACATTTTGTGAACTCACTCTATAACCAACATCCCATAAAAATTTAAAAATTGTATGAAAGCTTCTCAGTCGAGAATATTTATTTTTTATTTTAAAAGTTTTTACGGATAGTTGTACTTACTTTATACAATCTGGATCCTTCTCTGCCAACTTTTCTAATACGTTAATTTCAAGTTTGGCAGCTTCTCTGTACTTCTCAACATTCTTAATTATTTTTAAAGCTCTAAGGCAGTCTCTAGAAAAAAAGTATACATAAAAGCAACAATTTTTAGTGCACTTGTATTATAGTGAAATATAAAAATTACTTGACGGTATTGTATAAAAATTATAGAAGATTTTAAATAATATTACATGGATGTCAAGCCCAAGAAACCATCCGACATCTTACCGAAAGTTGCCAGAAATTTGCTGAAACTGAATACAAGTAATAAATGACAGTAGGAAAGATACGCTTCATCAAGAAATAACTAACAAACTATTATCTGTTCACAATTTGTCGATAGCTCACTACAAGTTTACCCCAAATTAGAGAACTGAAATGCAGAGAGGATAGGTAATACGATATAATAGTAAAAACCAACCTGAAACTGACGGTTTAAAATGTTTTCGACTAACCCACCCTGTATCTGAAGGAATACAATACAGCAGTAAACCTTATAATCCGATTCCGAAGGTATTTTGGTTACAGATGACCGACCAGTGTCGTAGAGTATATGATTGAAACATTTATTTGAACTAAATAAACATATTTTTATAATAATTATTTCCGAATCCGGAAAAAACTAATAAATATTTTTGAAAAACTTAAACTCAGAATGAAAGATTACTGAGGGCAGAAAGTCCCTGAAAACTTCTACAATGTTTATTTTAATATGTTATGTAAGAGGGGTGAAAATAAAAGAGTAAATATAGTATAATTTTTAATTGAAAATATTGCATGCAAAAGAAACTTTTTTTTTTCTAATAAATATTTTATTCTGCCTTTAAACTTTTTAAAAATGCTTTTTAGTTTTCTCAGGATTTGAAAAAAATGGATACATTAAAACACATTGAACATTTTGACATTCGACATTTTGCGCCTTTCCCCCTTAATACCTTACGATTACAACTACTATTACTTACCTTATACAAGGTGGTCCAGAATTATGTACATTAATTTCTAGAGCTCATAGTACGTCCAAAAATAATGGTACTTCTTTATGTACACTTTTTTATAAAACTGAATAATAAGGGAGATACAACCCTTTAAAGGGGTGAATTGAAATTCTTATTTTTTCAAATATCTTCCAAACGGTTTTGAATACGGAGTTCATATTTTGGGAGTGATTATTAGACATTAGGAGAATTAATTTCATGTTACCACCTACCACATCCTAGATTATTACAGGGTAGTTTTGGAGGGTAAGTGGGGGTTATTGCGTCACATGTTTTTTAATTTTTACATATTTTAAAAAATATTTTAAAAATTGTTTCCTTAGACTTTTCTACGTAAAAAAGGTGCTCTTGTAATATTTCGATAGATATCACCGTTTTCGATTTATTTAAACTCGAAGGTATACATGTATTTAATTGTAATCGTTACATTTCTTAATATTCATCAAGTATGCTTTGGAATTGACATTTGTGTTAGCAACAACACTTTAATCTCAAGTAGTCTATGAATTGTCAGTGACGTTTAATAACATTAAATTATTTTATCTACACTTTTATTGTACTATACAGTGAAATTTGTTTAACACGTCTCATTTGCTATATTTTTAAATTTGTTTGCCCGCAATTAGGGGAATGTTCGGGACCACCTTGTATAATTACGATAAGAAAACTATTCCAATTCAAAATAAATAGGATCAACTTCGGAATCCGAGTCTTGAGGGTTAATAATTAGCAGTTGTGTCTCTACGGTCGCATCAATTATGTTATCAAGATCCCACATTTTTTGTTCTTCTTCTATTACATGTATTACTGCATCTTTCCAGTTTTGTTCTGTAATATGTTGTAAAGACTCGTATAACAATTCACGTACAGCTTGTATTTTATATGACGTATTTTTTCTAGCCACATAACTTTTCATTTGTGCCCAAATGAGTTGAATTGGATTTATTTCGCAGTAGTAGGGTGGAAGTCTAAGGACTGTGATGTTTCGCCTTTCCGCCATTTTGTCAACTACGTATTTCTTGAACTTAGATTTGTGTTGCCGGGCAATTTTTAAAAGTTCTGCTTTTACCATTCCATCTTCGTAAGGCAGATACTTATTCCGCAGCCAGTCAAGAATATCCTGTTTCTTCCAAATAGTCGTTGGAAGTCTTTCTACTAGTCGTGAATGATAAGGTGCATTATCTAATACTATAATTGAATTTGGTGGTATGTGTTCACTCATCTGCTCAAAATTCTCTTCGGAAACATCAGCAGGCATCTTCTCGTGATAGTCTTTTGTGCTTTTGGACTGAAATTCCAACAAACCATGCTTAACAATTCCTTTTTCACTGCCAATGTGAGAAATTATTAACCTACTGCCTTTGCCAGAAGGTGGGGAGATACCAGTAGACCAACCTTCCATAACTTCCAACGTTTCATCTTGGTAGAAGATTGGCCTTCTTTCAGCCCGGAATTTTCGTATGGATCTTAGATAATTTCTTCTCCAATATATTATCTCCTTCCGGTCAATCAAAAGTGATTTTCGGTCTGATTTCTTCCACCGGAAATTTAATTCTTTTAAAACTTGCCATAATTTAGTTCGTCCGATATGAGTCAAATCCGGGTCGTCTCTAACTTCTTGTAAAATTTTGTTTAGGTTTGGTATTTATTTTTTGAAAAAAAATTCATGAATTTTCCTCTCTTCAAGTGTTCGTTTGTGTTTGGGTTAGCTATACCGTGTTTTTTTCTTTCTGATAGAAACCTATATATAGTTGACTCCCCTACGCCAGTCATGTTGGCACAACTTTCGACTATGTTGCGAACAGTGTTTGTGGGATTCTGAGAAACCAGAGCATCGTGAACATTCAGGACAATAGTCTTCTCTCTTGGTGAATAGACAGACTTACTGACTGCACGCAACAGTACCGGTGTAAAACTTGATGATGTTGATGATGAAGCCATCACAAACAATCGAACAAAACGAACACGTGCGAAAGGTACGTATATTTTCGTAGGTATTTGGAATAAAAAATCACTCATGCACTACATATAATTAACAAAAGAACTATTCGAGAGGCTAATTACTGCCGTAGACGTGGAAACACCGACGAGCTGTAAATTACATGCGATCAAAAACGTACTAAACAAAAAAATTGTTTTTGTTCGTAATAACATCACCCTTTCAAGTTAAGTTTCGAATATAAACTGAACAGACGAGGCGCGTGGCCAAAGCCGGCATCTTTATACCCATTATATTATTAAAAATCTTGGTAATTCCATCCTAATTATCTTGCAACGAATAGTACCTTCGGATATGAATTCCAGGTTTTCTAGTAAAGTGAATAAACGCGAAGATTAGTATTGAAATATCCAAAGAGATAAGGTATTCTTATTTACAAAATTGTTAATGGTTAAATTCTTATTTTTATTAATATAATATAATAACTAACATTAGCCGTGAAAGTTTTAATTGTTTTTTGGTAAATATATTAGTATTAAAACATTATTAATATTGATAATGAATAAACACCTCAGAAACGCCTATGATGATACAAATTTTACGACCGCTTTATAACTTTGAGGCAAATTTCGTGCTCTCAACAATTTGTGAAGGGAATATAGGACTTTTACAAACTAATAGGTTCCTGAGAATATGTTTAAAAATGACAATTACTACACTTTTATAGCTATATTGGGACCACACTGTACTTACAGAGCAACCAGTATCACACAATAGACCAGATCTAACACTAGTTAATAGATTAACTAGACCAACAACACTAATTGATGGAGCGATACCAAACAACAATAATCTTAGTGCTAAATACAACGAAAAAATCGCTAAGTACAGAGATTTGTAAATACAAATAAGGAGACAATGAAGCATGGAACCCCTGACAGTACCTATTATTCTCTCTACTGATGGTGATATCCCGAAAAACCTCCTAGAAAGCATAAAACACCTGGATCTGGGTGGACATCTTTATAAGATCATACAGAAAGCTGTAGTACTCTCCACGTCCAGATACGTAAGAAAATGTTTGCGAGATATTCCAGCATACCATGTCATTTAGAGCTGCAGATGACGTTCGACGGAATGTGAGTCGTATGCCTTAAATCTGGATAATATATATTATAATAAATATATTATTTAACTAATAAAATATTTTAAAATTTTCAGAAATACTTCGTAGTTTTGTAGTATAGTAAGAATAATGTATTTTACACACTTTTAGGTAAGGTATGTTCTCTCATTCATCTTTCAGCAATTATTTCGCTCCTCCTAGCGTTACTTTTCCTTCAAAACATATAATTGTTTGGTTGGAGGAGGGTTTTTCATTATTACAGCCTGAAAAGTTTTTAGGGTATTAAATGCCTTTTCTGTCACCATCACGTCCAGCACGATTGACTACCCATGCAACGAAAGGGCTGTATTACCCCGCAGATTCTTACATTTTTCTCTGCAGGCAAGGATCCCTACTGTAAGGCTACCATATCAACCGATGTTCTTTAAATTTAACACTATATGATTAAATTCGATCCTAAGAAAATCCTTTAAATTGTTTCTAAGCTGGCACAAACTTTGCTGAGAAAGAATATTCCTTATTAAATACTCGTCTCCACTTCGTAGTAGAACATTTGGGTGGCAATGCCTGCTATTCTGTTTTTTTTTATCTACCATAATCTATTTAGCCTCGATAAGGCGAAATATGTCATAATAAGGACTGAACATAAAATTTTAGACAGGACAGAATATAACGGGATAAGATGGTAAAATCTGCACTCGGTATTCTTTTTGAGATTGGGCACTCGACAGTACATATTTAGAAACTACTTTGGCCAAATTTTTAGTTCCCTAGGTGACACCAGAGGTCTCATACAGCAAAAAATCTGTTTTTCCAAAAAAAAAATCCTAAGCGATACTTTGCTTTAAATATCTGATAAAACCCATAACTTTTCATCTGATTTTTTTTAAATTGTTTTAATCAAAATAATTTCAGGAAAAATGTTTTAATTTTTCAAAGAATTTTTAGGTTATGTAGTTAAGTTTTGACAAACTTCTAAATAATTATTTTTCGGATTTTGAAAAGCGGGGTTAGATGTGCCATTTTCTCTCCGGAACATCTTCAAAATTCGATGAAGAAAACCCTTTTTTGGCGTTGTCGTCCATTTTTAGTACATAAACTTAACTGCAAGTCAATTAATAAGGATTTTTGATATATTTTTCGTTATTTCTAATAGCGATGAAGTAAGAGGGGAAACAAAAATCGTTGTCACATTTAGATTACATTTTGTGCTTAAATAACGAAAAAAAAAATTACCAAAAAATGCACGTTTCTCGAATTGAGGGTATTATTCAGTTTGAAAATGACCAACATGATCCTGCTATTAGAAAAAAAGGAAAGTAGTATTTTGGTGGCTCAGGCATTGTGACCTAGCATTTTTCGATTTTAAAACCTGATGATGGACTGTGTGGTCCGAAAACGTTTGTTTTATTGATGTAGCCCTTTTAAGGGTTTTTTAAATAAATATACCCATTTACAAAGACTAACCTCTTTTTTTTGAAAAAAATAGATGAGAAACTTTTGTTTATCCATATACAGTTGAGGTTATGTGCTAAAATATTGGAAATAATATTAATTCAAAAAATAGGGTCGTCTTATTTTAAGCATTTTCTGATCAAAAAATGACAAACCTGATCCCACTTTATAAATAACAAAAAATATATCAAAAATCGTTATTAATTGACATGCAGTTAAGTTTATGTGCTGTAACAAGGGAAGAAACACCAAAAAATAGATTTTTTGAATTTAGAGGATGTTTTTTCCTAAGCTCAATTTTGATCCAAACAATCTGAAAAACATTAGAATGTTTTTGGACAGAGGTTATAGGGGTTTCTATATTTTGGACTTACAAGTGGCCAATTCCAAATAAGAATCCAGCCGAATATAGATTTTATCATCTTATCCAGCTATAGCATTTTTAACAAATCTTGCACAAAGCGCATTATTCAGATAAAAAGCGCAAATATTCAAATGTAAATTTTAAGATAATCTGGTTATCAAAACTTTTCTTACACGCTGTAAAGTATTATTGGATAATAAATATTTTTGGTACTTACTTTTTGAGATCTTTCACTTTGACAACTTTTCCAAACGTTCCCTCCCCTAAAGTTCCGATAATTCTATCTGCAACAGAAAAATTAGATTATTTCTTATTACAATTAGATTAGAGATTTTGAGCGCCATTGCATCTGAGTGCAGTGAATCTAATATTAACCGATTTATTAAAATAAATACGTTAAGTGACTGGGTCAATAGAAGGAGTAAGAGAATACGCCGTTTGGAAGGACAATAAATGGTATGCTCTTGGCAAAATTCAAAGAATAAGTGGAGGAAAACCAAAACAAAACATACAAAGGAATGAACCTTATATTGGAGTAAACCAATTATCACAAAGAGTTATAGAACCTGGGATATTAATGATGAAACCGATAGCATTTATTTAAATTTCATCATCATAATCAACCGTTTTAATTCAACTGCCTCTCGTAACTAATTATACTGCTTTCGATTTTAAGCACCTTGAATCCAGTTGTTCTAGAAACACATGAGAATATCTGATCTAAACACTTCCCTCAGTTTTCCTTAAGCTGCTCATTTGGTCCTATTCTCGCCATCACGAGATCTTAGTTGAGGACTAATTCACACGCTGACGATGATCACCCAGCCTCTAGACCCTTCTATTGGCTAATTGACCTGGAATTAAGGCAGGTAAGGCAAGGCAGTCTTGCTCGGGCTACTATACATCCTATGACATCTGTGCTATACTTCTTTATAATCTATTACTTACTTTCTGTCAATCAACTTTCATGGTGGGATATCTTTTTTTGTCTGTAATTGAAATTTATAAAAGAAGGTAAAAATTATTATTAGGTTCATTTTATCATCTGCAGAATTCTCTTGCGGTGAGTACTGTCATTGTAAACTATATTCTATAATTCTGACAGCATTTTCAATATTCATAACCTTACTTCTTTCAAAACCACGTTTTTAATTCTATGCATGTAGGAACCTAACAAAATTTAACTAAGCTTAATAGTAATTCTATTTTATTTTATCCTTGCCATCTGCTACTAGTTTAATCGTCATTTACATAGTAAAATAATTGTCAAGAAAGTTAACCCCCTTTGATGTTTTTCTAATACAGGCTGTTTACTATTCTAGTTTATGGGATATTTCTAGAACATTTTATTGGATTTATTGGAGAATTTATTGAAGATTTTACTGAATACTTCTATATTCTATATGTTTATGGGAATAATATGGAATAACTGCAGCTGTCAGTAGGGCTTACCCACATGCATTAGTCAGGGTTGTTTTTGCTATTTAAATATTATTTTTTATATGTTAAATAAATATGATTAGTTAAATAATTGTTTTATTTGTTACCAGCTAAGTGTTCATTGTTTAATTCATAGTTTAAGACGAGACGAATTCACGCTTGAGAGGCTAAGCTAGGCAAAGCATAGACGATAAGCTGCCATGGTTGATTGAGGTATTATATATAATAGTATATATAATAATAGACTATACTCTGGGAGCCCCCTATCGGGGCTTTGCTTTCTTTTTTAAGTATCCATACGCCTGGCTGCTACCTTTTCTACTGCCAAAATGTGTTTCATTTATTTAAATGAAAGAATAACCAGTAGCACTAAAGACTAGCTACCTAGATGGTGAAAATCCATCCATACATGGATATATAGTAGAGGATCCTTCGACTTACAATGTCGAAGCCCTCTACAGAGCATCCAAGGAAAGACAGGAAATACAGGATGTCCAAGACCCTGGCTCTCTTAGGCTGACATCCTGTTTAATTCTGTTATTTTTGTTGTCTCTTCCTAATTTAAGCTCGTAGTCTAGATACTTATAGGTATACACTTGTTCAATTTGCATGCCATACGTTGAAATGTTTTTGGTCAGTACAAAGTTGGTCACGTATTGTGTTTTGGAAAAGTTAATTTGCTGAGCTCTGAAGGTCTCAAAGAAGTTGGCAGACATGATCTACGAGATCTGCAGTAAAGACTACATCATCTGCAAACCTCAAGTTGTTTAGAAACTCATGATCTATATTTTCCCAATTATTTTTCTCAGAGCACTCTGCAATAAAGCCGTGAATGGTTTAGCAGAGACAGTGTCACAAGAAAATAGTTTCTGAACAATATAAATCTAGATAAAACAGGTATTCTGAAAGCTGTTAAAAGCATCTGAGTTTCCAAAAGGAATGCTGGGGTTGTTTCTGACAAGTAATACCTTTTCTCGCTTGGAGAAATACAGGCGTGTACAGTGAAACTGTACTACCCACGCATGCAATTTGTAGCTGACCGTTGAAAGTCAAGTTACCTGGTTGAATTCAAATAATAGTCGATATAGGGCATAAAAAATTGTGAGAGGTCAGCGGTAAGTGTTTATAAAAAAACTGTAGTGTATGTGTCATGCGGACTAGTGTGACCTATTTACCTAATTCCAAGGTCGTGGCATATTGCAGCCCAAAACAGTCGTGTACAGGTCAGTAATTTTCTGTGCAGGAGTGGAGATTCGCCGGCCGTGTGTGGGAAAGTCTATCGGTAGCTATAAACATTTTCAACGGTTTTAAATCAATGAAGTTTAAATACATTTCGTGAGTTTATTTTTTATAGATATAGTATATGGGGAATTTTATTGAATCTGTAGATGTAGATGTTTGTACTTTTCCCTTTCTTGTATATGTTACATATCTCATGATTAGAAGGTTAATTATTACTTTTTATTTAAGTTTGTTTAGTATAATTAAACCGTATTTAATAAACTCGTTATAGTCAATTTGCAAAGGTCCCTTGGAACTTATTTTATTTAATTAAATTATGCCCCTAATTTATCCAAGAGGTACGGACCGAAATAAGCAAATGGATGAATGAATGCAAGAATTAGACCAAAGTTTGGTGAACAAACAAAACAAGATATTTCAATTTTAAAAATAAAAAAAAAACGAAACATCAAAGCTCCAATTAGATCAAAATGGAGAAGAATTAAAGAGGCCAAAACCTCAAAAAAGTCGTGAAAAAAATTATGACGATTATGCCATTTTGTTACAACTTAATAATAAAATCAAAAATTCTTATTTAAAACGTGATTTTTTCAGGATAAAACATTTATCCATAAGATTCTGATTAAGTGGCCGAACCTTATTAGTTGTATTTTGAATTAGTGTCTCATTCATCATATTCTCAAGATCTGTTTTCAAACATTCAAATTGGCTCGTTTATAATAGATCCAAGCCTAATTCAGGCGTAACAGCTGCTTTAAAAAGCTATTTCGATCAGTTTGATTCATGCAGCGACAATGAATAAATATATTAAATGAGCAAGAGACTATATTGAACCACGTAGTTATCAATCAGTCATACTTTTTCTAAAATATTTACTGATGTCATTTAATTTTTGGAAATAATATTTTATGAAAATCATTAAGATTAGAACTATTTTTATTAACGTTTTAACTATGCGGATCTACAAAAGATTATCGAGCCAAAGATGATAATGAGGTAAAAAAACATACGGAAGGTCCTAGTTTTTTTCCAGCAGTGTATTTATTATTTAAAAATTTATAAGAGGTACTTTCTTTAACGAATTATTTATCTCCTAATACAATTATTGAGTCGGTCAATTTAGAGAATAAATCTAGGGATAATTAATACCAGATGAATTGTGCTTTCAAATACGTGAGTACATACAATCGTTTGATGTAAAGGAAGTCCATTATGCTAATTAGTCCAGGCTGTGAGGCCGCTCCCGTTGGGAAAATGTTTCTGATTCGGTTTTTTCGCGGATTCCGGTTCAAAAATGTCCCCTTTAAACAAATCTGAAGGGTGCCGGGCGAAATTTTTGGGCAGAAATTGTTTTTTAACAAATTCCAAAAATATTTTTTTTAATCTGGAAAACATTTTTTTAGGTGTTTTGGGTCATTTTAAATAAAAAAGGTCTCTTGTCATTTTTCTCTAAAGTTGATAGTTTTCGAGTTACAAGCGATTTAAAGTCTGAAGAACGCGAAAATACGCATTTTTGAGGCTTGAAAACACATATGTAAATTATTATTTTTGAGGTTACCAAGTGTCTAAATTGAAGTTTAAACATGCAACTTCAAGATTGTGAAGAGTAATCGAGGCTTATTTTAACTTAGACCGTTGTTTTTTAATTGTTAAATATGCGCGTACGCTCGATTTTTCAGCCGCCGCGGCGCGGCGCGCTAGAGTGCGCTTCTATCGTACTTATGATATGATATATTATCGTTTTTTCCATAATTTATTTATGTAGGTATTAATTATTTTCATTGGGCTAATTAAATAAATCAATCATCGCAATGTAATAACCGTATATAGTTTTTTTCTTTTCCAAATTTGAACAATATAATTATTATTTATTGAGTATATATTTATTTATATCAATTGTAAATAATATTTTTAAATTATTATTTAAATAATACAATGCAGTAAATATTAATATTAGTAAACTTAATTTTAAATTGCGCGGTGTTTAAAAACAATATACTATCGCAAAAATGCAAGTTTTTACCTGTTTAACAATCGCGCGCTCATACTTGATTTGATATTACTTAAACGATAATTAGGAAGACTATTGTTTAATGCCCATTAAAAGGGTATTATATTATTAATGTGTTATTAAAAAAATTGCGAATGGATTTAAAATGTCTTTTTCCGTACCTTTTCTTAAATGAAAACTTTGTTTCTATTAAAAATTTAGTTTGTATTTTTTGTAATAACATCAACAATATTAAGTTAGTGCAAAAACCTAAAGTAGATTTTTACATAACAATACAAAATGCTGCTCTTCGACGAAAAGACAGTGTGACTGAAAAATTTAATTTAATCTAGCCAATATACCTTGTACCTTTGACGAACTTTACCAACACTTCTTAAGAGCTTTCGCTAAAACATATGGCGAAATGCCATATATTCCCGCTATCAAACTCTCGATTTTACACAATATAGATATTACATGTCTGATAGTGGTGGGTTGGGAAACCGTGCAAATGCAAAACTAATGCTTGCAACTGCAAGAAAAATCATGTCAACTGTGTACCATTATATGGATGTGATTTAGATTTTTGTGAAAACAAATATACTTTTACTG